CCCCCGCCCCCCCCCCCCCCCCCCGCTGACACCCCGGGTAGGTCCGGTCACCCAACCACTGACAATCAGTTCGATCGCCGACACCGCTGGCTGTCTCTCTCCAATTCTTCTACTCTCCGCGCAGATTGCAGCCGATTCCCTCCTGCTGGAAGGCACTCGCGTCTCCGGGCGTGCGTGATGAAGTACCTTGGGGTGCGCGTGGTGGTCGAGGGCAAGCAAGAGCCCGGCGTGATTTACATCTACGCCGGCGTCGGCCCCGCGGAGCAGCTGCTGCTGTCTTCGGTGAGGCGGCTTTGTTTTGACACGTTTATCGTTTCATGTTGCATTGTCGGATGTGCATATGTTCCTGTGAAATTGTCGACAAGTTCTTCCTTGACTTGTAATCTACTGTTGGTGCACATGTCTTGCCAGCGTGATTAGAGTTGTGTCTGATTAAGGGCCTTGGATAGCTACCGAAACCGCTTTTGATCGGTGATCGGTGCAATCGACTTATCACTCATTCAATATGATACCCTTTGCGTGGTGCAGTGTACACTATCTTCGACAAGGCTACCCACGCGAAGCGAGCAGGCATGAAGCAAGTTAGGCCGCCCGTCTCTATGGTTTATATTTCTAGACTCATCGCGCACTTGGTTAGCATGAGGGTGTTGGGCTACCCACTCAATCCTCTCCTTGTCACCTCTTGGTCCCCCCCCCCCTCCCTATCTCCTCAACCACAAAGGCGGCGCCAAGTGCCCTCTCCCGACCCATAAGGCCGACGACTACGGCGGTGATTTGCCCGTCCCTCGCGCACACGGTCCTCCTCTCCCTCCTGGGCTCCGCCTCCGTCGAAAAGACCCACGACTGGGCCGCTTTAGATTGCGCTGCCGAAGCGGGCGAGAGCGCCTGCACCAGCGGTGGCGAGACGGAGTTGGCGCTTGCACCGGCTGTGTCCACGGCCATGAAGAGAGGCGCTCAGATCGTTCCCTGCACCGTTCTTGGCTCCAGCGGTGTAGATGGGCGATTCGCGCTGGCCAAGGCGGCCGCCGCGTGGGGCCTTTGGAAGAGGCCTGGGGGAGTTGTCGTGGTCTGCGCCAGGCCGGTGGCGGTGCCGTCGACCGAGGACTCGGCCTCGATGCTCAAGTATGCGGAGACGGTCCAGGCGGCCGCCGCCAGGGTGCGCTCGGAGCACTGCAACGCTTTCTTCACTGGCTGAACTGTCTGTCGTTGCCTGTCCAATCGTCTTTTATGGGTTTTTTTACCTTCAACAGGGCGCACGAGCGCAAGTCCATGCGTGACACCGGGTGCTTGTACGTTTATGAGTGAAGTCGTTGTTCGGACGTTTTTTATCCTTCGTACACGCGACGTTGGTCTGAACCCGCGTCTTGTGGGGGCCTTTCCCTGGTTCACAACAAAACCAGGATCATGTCGGTTTTCAAGAGTTTCGCCCACGTGCAGGACGAAGAAAAGTGGGACTCTTCAGACTGTCGTGAGATTGTTGTCATGGATGTAGTGTTGCGCAGCGACACCACTTGATGTGGGGATAGTATGGGGCCGTTTTGGTGGCACGTGCGGTTGCAGTGAAGCGGGGTTACCTTTATTTGGAAGCATTCGAGAATCCCTTGAGGTCCGAACGAAAGCAACGTAGTCTGGCGTTCCCGAAGCTGGTATGACCGTGAATTTGTGTCGTGTGTTGGGTAGGCGTGATGCTTTTGAGGCTTTTGCACCAGCAGTTGGGATCGGAACAAGTCGGGAAGATCTCTCACGATATCCTGTCGTTTGACTGAATTTGTGTTTGTGTGTGATTTTTCATCATATCTGTGCACCTTTTGAATTCCTGTTGTAATGAATACCGTATGTTTGACACACCAACCGCTGGGGCCACAGCTGTCGGCAAAAAGGGGCCTTGATTCATGGTGCTAAGAATCCAACACGTGATGACCACGCCAGGCGTGTGATGCTACCGCCAAGGTACGCGAACTATGGTGGGAGTTGCGGTTGACGTGTGTCGTACGTCAGGCATGCTTTGCCAGCTCTTCGCGAGCAAGAGGGCCAGTGGCATGAAACTCGCGAAACGTACGACTGACGGTCGGGGAGAATATGGTTCTTTTTTATCATGTATAAGATTGGGGTAGCGCTGTCTGAAAGCCCTTGTCAAGTCTCCTTGCTTTGGAACAGCAGGCGTCAACAAACAGCGGGCCCTACCGCCTATTTTCGTTTAAGCGTCCCGTGCAGCAAACACAACCAGCAAGGCGCACTCTGGTTCGTCGGCTAGCTAGAATTTCGTTGCCGTTGTGTTCGTGTTGAGCCCTCAAGCGAGTGGCGCGGGTTCACGTTTAGGTCCCGAAAGACAACACACCATCATGGTAGAATATCCTCTAGTCGCCTTCAACGAGAAACCAAAACACAGCAGTACACTCGATACTAGCGATGAACTGGCTCGTTCAAACAAGACCATTTCGCTGTCACGCCGTTGTGTCTCCCGTCAAGCGGCCCGGTCAAGAACCAAAACAACAGCAGGATTCGTTCTGCACCGATCGCCATCTCCTCGCCTCAGCCTAGACTACGATGTACCTCCAGTATACCGAACGGACTACATCACAAACTCAATACCAATGTTCAAAAGACTGCATCTACTGCTGCTGCGCCTGTTCGTCCCGCCTGGCCTTCTCCCGAGCCATCCTTTTCTCCATCACCCTCTGAAACGCTTCGTTCCTCCTCATGATGTCTTCCTCTCGCTCCTTGTTCCCCTCCTGCAGCCTCTTCCAGAAGCCCCCCTTCTGCTTCTCCGCCAGCGGCTTGGAGCCACCGCCGCCCCTGCCCCCGCCCGCGCCCCCCGCCGTGGCCGCCGCCGCCGCCGCCATGCCGGGGGACAGGGTCTCCGGAGCGTCTCCCACGATGTCCTTGCTTGTCAGCATACCCCCCATCCCAGCTGCGGGGCCCCCGGCGCCGACGACCGGGGCGATCTGCCGCACCAGTCCCCCGAGACCCTTGCGTTTCTCCGCATCCTCCTTTTGCCTCACGGCGTTCACCTTGGAGCGGAAGTCGGCGACAACGGCGTTGGAATCCTCGCCCACGTGTGGCCGCAGGACGTCGCGGAAGTCGGCAACCCCCTGCAAGGAGAGGGGCAGGAACGCGGCGGGGTGGTGGTGATGCTGATGGTGGTGTTGATGTTGGCGCGTGCATGCTTGTGGCTTCGGGCGCAGCCATGCAAGTCCCTTTTCGGTTGGTGTTTCTCTTGGTCGAACCAAAACACATCAAACAATGCCAACATTCCCCTCGGAGCAGGCCAGTGACACGCATAACAGAACAACGACGAGTAGGAAGGAGCGATGGCAGATAACGACCGCGTGCTGCTAAAACAGGACGAACGTCGAGGGGGGGGGGCGGAGGGAGCACGGCACACACAGCAATCTCCCACACATTTGTTGTGTGATGCCCCTTCATGGATGTCCACCAAGCGGCCGCGCTTAAGCACCAAGCTCGATACAGCAGCAGGATATCCAACAACGAACCAACCAACCCGAAACACCTACTGCACTTCGATACCCGGGCGTGGATACTAAGCTCGGAGGAATCACGAAGACTCAAAAGTCACCTGTGTCGCCAACGCCCTAAGGAATGGAGCCAAGTCGTACAAGACCGTGTCGGCGGTGGGATCCGATCCATCCTCCAGCGAAAACGGCTTCACCTTGATGGCGTTCTCAGGCNGGGGGGGGGGGGGAGGGGACGTGTTGGAACCACGGATTGCCATCCTCTTGTTCTTGATCAGGTGAAGTGCCGGCCCAGACAAGAATCGCACCTACTTGGTGAGGACCAACCCCACCCACCGCTGTCTCTCACGGCCAACCTGACTGTTGTACCGCGTCAAGCAAAACATACCCTCTTCGCGAAATGCAGCCATCGACGCTCGCCACCACAAGTTGAAAAATAGCCAACGAATACAAGACAAGACACCGGCGGCAACCGACACAGATGCCCATGTCTAGAATACGTTGTTAGCAAATACATGCGCGAAATGAAAAAATGATACAACGACCTAAAATCCGTGTTCAGTCGGGCAGCGCGGTGGATGCCCACAAACGAAAGAAATACACACCTGCATGGAGATGCAGTCGGCGTTGTCGTCGATAATGACCGTTTGCTCCAGCGGGCGGTTGAGGGCGGAGAGATCCTTGACGTACTTGCCGTCGATGTACCTAGTGCCGTCCCGGTACACCCTCTGGCTGATGGTCCCCTGCGGGTCCATCTGGGTGATCCACTGTTATTACCGTGAGGAAAGGCAGCGGCGGCGGTAGGTTGTGGCACAGGAATCAACAATACTTCCATGAAAAAACAAGGAGATAGTTGTAACTAACATGAGAAGTTGTCATCACGAATGTCGTGAGAAAGGATCCTCTGTGCGCGTCCCCGTTCCCCGCGTCCCCAGCAAAAAGGTCTCAAGTACGTGAAGAAAACGCGTTCGCCCAACGGATGACTTATTTGTCAGCGTTTCAAAGTTCGCCAACCCGTCCTCGGGTGAAACACGGGGGCGACGTTTCCGCAGCCACGATTGTGCACTCTACGTTTTGCTCACAGGCAACTACCGTGCGGCGCGCGCATTTCTTGAGGCCGCAGGAAATCACACCTTTCGAATAGGACAAGCTTGGCGATGGGACAAAGTTGTGCCCTCAGAGAGCACTGCCAGCAAGGTGTAAGGATTACGTGTCCAAAACGTGGAGGGATTTATGTGCCACAGATGTTGGTTGCCGCAATAAGAGGAGTGCATAGATTCTACGTAGTCACAAGCCACTAATGGTATAGTTCATCTAACAAAAACAAGAGACAGGTCACGGGGCAGTAGCAACAGCAGTATCTTGCTGCGCCAGCGATCCACCCGCCGACCCAGAATGACATCAAAAGATCGACAGTCGAACATATCTCTAGTCGCGTGGACGTTTGCGGCATATGTCGGGATCCCATCTCCGTTTGCCTCATTCTTTCCCTCCATCTCTCTGTGTCCTTCCCCACCTCATCCGCCAAACCCCCCATGCTGTCTGTGAAGACGACGATCTCGTACAGCTGCGACATCTCCTTCAAGAACGCATCCAGGCCTGGTCGCTTGGCAACTCTCCACCTATTTCAGGACAGCACAGAGAAATGAGACAGGAGACGACGAAATCATGGAAAGAACGGCACGCTGCGTGCGGCAAGGCGGTGGCTACAAACTTGCCTGACAAGAAGGTTGTATAATGGAGGGTCAAGCCGCCCTCAAGACTTTCCTTAAGACGACCACCCGGCATCATACACGAAATACAAGAAACAATTTTAAGCCCCACGCACCGCACAGACGGTCCAAACCATGTATTACACGAACAGCACACGCATGAAAACCCGCCTCTGGCTTGCGAGCATGCACAGCTCCTCAAGCTCACCCTTTCTTGCGGGTGTAGATGGTGCCGAGTAGGGTTCCCTCAAGGTCCAGCACAAGCGTCGGGGGCGGCAACGCTCCCGGGGGCAGCGGGCAGTCTAGCAGGAGCTTCTCTTTCACGGGGCTCGAGTACTAGGGAAGGGGGGGGCGAAACACGCACGAAAAAATCCAATGATCCATCGAGGCAGGCAAATAATTGACCGACGACTCCGATGGGCGAGCAGTGATTCGACGAACCAGAGGTGCTCTGTTTGATGCCTCTGGGTGCATCTCATGGAACCATGGAATATCAACAATGCAGAGTAACAACCAATGGGAAAAAGGCTTGGAGGCATTGTGGCCATGCAAGGTCATCGCATAGCCTTGTAGGCTTCCGTGCCAGTGCTTCCGATCCAGGGCCAACCCCTGCCGGCATCGTTGCTGCGACCAAATAATCGATCACCACCACCGAATAAACCCCTAATCGACTCCAAGTCACCCCCCTAATCGACCATGCTGGCCCATGCCAGCAAACGAAAAAAAAACGTGTGACAGCTGACGACCACACCTTAAGCGCACTCATCTTGCTACTACACAAAACGCACCCCCCCCCTTTCTGCGTGGGGATAGCTACATACTGAAACCCCACGAGTTGAGTGATGTTGGATAGTGCCAAACACACAGATAAACGCTTTGAGTGAGGATGGCTGCATGTTGAGACCTAACGGGTTGAGTGACGCCTGCGACTGCCGAACACATA